CCTCACCTACAAGAGCAGTACAGTATGGCTGTTTTGAGGGGAGAAGTTAGCATAACTTTGAATATCAAACTAGACTGCATAGTCTATAAGAACAGACTTATTAAGCACTAGCTATGTGTGCAGACAGCCTGACATGCCAGTGCATGACCTGGATAGTGCCACAATATAGCACAGGTCCATAAAACAACATCCATGTCCCACTTCAAGTAGGACTATCATCAAGACCAACACTGCTATTACAGCTCTTCCATCAAAGGAATGACTCTTTGGCTGAGACAGCATAGAATCATAGAATCATTAAGGTTGGAAAAGACCTCTAAGATCCTTGAGTCCAAATATTACCCCACACTGCCACTTCAACACTAAATCATGTCTCAAACTACCATATCTACACATTATGTGATATCATACATAACATCTCACTTAAAGGTAATTTGGTTTCTTATCTGAAAATAGGGCAAATTTTATTCTGAAGAAAAATACCTGGTGCCTGAAACAGGGAAACAAAACTGGAGCCCTCATCTTCCTGCCAGGTAATTGCTCTTTCACCATAATAAAGCTCCCTGTAGCCTAAAGTCTATTTCATTCCATACAAAGCTGATAATTTTTTGCAAAAGTAATCAAGACAAAACTCTTCCAGAACACTATCGTGATTGCTGGGTGCAATGTTCCTGTGGGGAAAAAATGTGCAAACTTCCTCCTGGAATAGAATTTACTCTGTGTCCTTCAGGCTCTGAACTGGTTAGACAGGTGAGGAGCTAGAAGCAATAGGACAACCACTGTGCCTTAAGTGGGCATCTGGCTTTTTAGTGCATGAAGGTGAGTGAGTATGTTACAAGAAATGAAACTCATTTCATTAAAACTTATGCCTGACCCAGCTGAGTCAATAGAAATAAATGGACATTGTAACCCATGATTCAGCTGACACCCAATTCTTGCACAGAGGAATGCCAATCAAAATGTCTCAGGATTAAATCAGAATAATGTGGATATTTTAATGCACTCAATTTCCTATATGATGAGGCAGTTAGGGAGAGCTGCTCAGATGTTCTTTGATTAAAGTTCTGTGTATAGAAGTGTAACCTGAATTTTCTATATACTACGTTAGCTATTTCATAGCAATTACCTGTTCATCTTTCTACTTATTTAAAAACTTCATGAAGAAAGCCTTGTGGAACTACAATAAAAAGTACTAAATTAAATGAAAAGTCTTTCTCTATCTCCTTGCTCTAAGTTTTCTTTCTTCTCGGACATCTGTTGACCTATAAAGGGAAACATCTCACAACACTGTTTAGTTACTCTTAGATAAATGATGAAATGTAAATGCAGAAAATTATGTGCTATATTGTCACATTAATCTTAAACATCATTCTGATTACTTGCTTTTACCATTTTTCTTACATGGTGGTGTGGGAATCTTTTTGTATTGATTTCCAGATGGTGAAATTCTCCAATGGAAAGGTTTTATCTTTCTTTAGTGTATTCTGTAAAGAAAGGAATGGAGACTGTTGTTATTAATTTTATGTAAGTGATAACATTTAAATCAAGTACTGTAAAGTACCTATTCATAACTGATGTATGTTGCCTCTTAATGGTAGCAAGTTTTTATCATTTCCCTGTTCTCATATTATGTCTAAATTTTTATATTGTTTTTGTAGCTCGAGGTTTTGATTGCATCAGACACTGAAGTATGATCCTTTTTTCCTGATGGTAATACTTTTTTTCTGAACAGAAACAAAGAATTCATTGTATATCTCCCTCAACATTCTAAATCAGATGACTTGTTTAGAATTGCAGATTATGCTCAAAGGGGCTGCTTGAGCCATACTGGTGTCATCAGAATTACACACTAAATAGAGCCATCATGAACACATTATAATCTGTTTTGAAAAGAGCATGATGCTGAGTAATGAAGAATCATGATGCCAAAAATTTTTATTTTTAATTAAATATAGCCCTGTAACACATAGAAAAAAGTTCAAATGAGAAGACATTGATGCTCCTGCTCATGATTTTCATGTGCTCTTCTCAAGACACTGTATTTCTTGACCCACATCAGCTAAACAAAATTGCAACTACAATAGTTGAGACAGCATATTTTATATGTGTTTTCAGACACTTCCAGCTCTCAGGTAAGTAAACATGCATTAAAATATAAAGATGTCTTATAAATTCTGACAGACTGTAGTTCTCCAAATGAAAAAATATTCTTTCATGCTCAAGCTGGTATTGATACAGAAGGCATCCAGTAAGAGCAGGGAGTGCATGTCTGACAGTAATGTAATCCATTTAGTTTTAACAACTCATTGAAGCCTATGTTTTTGGAGTTTGTTCTTAGTTGACCACTCAGTTGTCTGAAATTATTCAGCACGTGGATTGGTTAAATACTGAGAATTCATGATCTCTGATGTGATTAAACACCTGCACTGCTTTTATGTTCAATTATTAATAAAACCAGCTAATTATTTTGTATGACCTTTTGCCACAAAGATATCTTTTGACTCTTCTTGAGATCAAAAGACAGCTTCAGAAACAGAGATCAAAAGAATTTATGTGCAACTCGTAGAATCAGCTTCCTTCATGAACTGCAAACAGCTTATTTCAAACAAGCTTTATTTCACTGTTGTTTCAATTGAGATGACATACAGTGTTAATCACCCCATGTTTGGATATAAAAATGGGAATAGTATCTTTTATTTATTGGATATAACATGAATTTGCACATGTGCACAAATACATGTACACAAACACATTGCTCATTTATTAAACAGTATCTGTAGGTTATGTTATTTGGACATCATGAAGAATTTCTTCTGTGAAAGGGTGCTCAGGCACTGGAATGAGGTGGTGGAGTCACTGTCCCTGGAGGTGTTCAAGAAACAACTGGACATGGCACTCAGTGCCATGGTCTAGTTAACAGAGTGCTGATCGGTCAAAGGCTGGGCTCAATGACCTTGGAGGTCTTTTCCAACCTTAATGATTCTATGATTCTATGTAATCACTAGGAATACTCACTGCATAAAGTTAATACAAGTTCCATTCATTATTTTTTAAAAGTGTTTGTCAATAAAACAGGAGCACACATCTCAGTGATTCTGCAGTTGACTGTGTTCAGATTTTGCTGCTTTCAGATGAAAAGTCCTTAGAGTTGCTCTGTTATTGGCAGCTTTTTTTTTACCTTGAAAATATTGGGATATTCAACTTATTTTAAAAACAAACCTAAAACCTGTAATAAGGTGTGCCTTGGTTGGTATTCTGAAAGTTGTACACAATAATTCTGTACGTTTAAGGCACATTCTTTTAACTACTACTAGCTACAAATAATTAAAAAAAAAATAAAAAGACCTGTCCATCTAAAACTAAATTTACATGGCTCTTTTTTTATTCATGCAGTTTAAGCACAAAATAATCAAGTGAAAAAACATCCTCCCAGGCAGGTAATGGTAGAAGGCCTCAGGATTTTTGGGTGTCTCTCAGTAAGCTTACAATTGCAAGCAGGACAGGTACTCTCAGAAAAAGAAGAGCCACTTTCTTTTTTAGACCAGTAATAATGTTGCCTCTGTCTAATTCCGCTTTTTAGATTCAGCTATCTGTATACAGACCATAGGTTTGCAGGTAAAATCACTGATGTCTCTGACTCTTTTATCTCAGTCTCAGTGGGAGAGATTATATAAAAACATGGACATTCCAATCTAGAAAATGCCTGTCCACTTTGCAAAGTATCTGCATTACTTACTTACATGCACAAAAGATGCACAGAAAATGATAAAGTGGAGCTGCTGCTATGTCACTGTAATAGAAGACTAGAGAATGCTTTGTTATTTTTTCCCCCTGGGTTTCACTGAGAAATAAGTAGTGCTGTCAGAATGAAGAGAGTCTCTAAATTATTCAGTCTAATTTATCATTTGAAGTCTAAAATGAAAGTTCCAATGTGTTAACAATTTTCAGTAGTTGGGAAGGTAAATTTAAAAAAAAAATAGATATATTAGCTTAGAAGTTTGCCACTATGGATATTGTTTTGGAAAAAAAGAGCATGATAAAAACAAAGCTGTTGAGATTATCCAAGAGCAAGAAATGGGGGTACGAATTTTAAAAGTCTGTATTGTTTGAAACATCTGATTTAGAAAGATCGATTCCCCTGTACTTAAGATCTTGACATATTGTGATGAGACTAGCTCCATCTAATGCATCTTACTTCATTACTTTCTTATATCTCCTCCTGTCCTCCCTCCTCAGCCTCCTTAACATTAGTAAATTAACTAATGTTAATTTACTCAGCCTCCTCAACATTAGCATCCTCAACATTAGCCTCCTAAGCACTAGTAAAAATTTCTTAGGGCTGTCAAGCCCTAAGGCTTGACAAAGGCAGCCAAACAGGCTGCCCAGGGAAGTGGTGGAGTCACCATTCCTGGAGGTATTTAAGACTGTAGATGTGTCACTTAGGCACATGGTTTAGTGGTGCACTTGGCAGTGCTGGGTTAATGGTTGAACTCAGTGATCCTGAAGGTCTTTTCCAGCTGATATCATTCTCTGGTTCTATGACTCTGTATCTGGCCAAGGGACCTTAACACAGCCTTTTCAGCACAGTTTGTGTAGAGAATATAATTTTACATACAAAGCTAATTTCTTAACTGGTGAGCTCTGATCGCAGTGTTTCAGCTAACAGGCAGCTTCCACATCCAGAGCACTATTAAAGAAATACCGTTCTGAAGTTTTATGATCTCATTTCCTCTTCAGATATCCAAACATGAGAAAAGTTTAAGGGGACCTGTGTTGACCAGCAAAACACTTCGAGAGACCTTCACGCAATTTGCAGCAGTAAAGAGTGCTCAAGCGTGGGGGCCCTCTCAGGTGTCGCAGCTGAGCTGAGCTGAGCTGAGCGCTCACACCTCGCCCCTCAGCAGGCGAAGCCGAACCGCCCGGCGCACCCTCCGCAGGGCCACGCTGCCCAAAGCCTGCCCGCGGCTGCGGCCCCTCCTTCTCCGGCGCCACAAAGGCCCTTCACATGTCTCCCGCGGGGCTCCCTGGCTCCCTCCTCCATGGACCTTCCGGAGTGAGGCGGCCCTGGAGCGGGAGGCGAGGGAGGCTCTTCCAACAGCCGCAGGAAACGCCCGTGTGTGGCCGAGATCAACACGAGTGGGGCACGGAGGGCCCGCACCGAGCAGCTCGCACCGCAGCGCCTCGGGGCTGGCGCCGTGCCTGACCCCGGACCCCAGCAGGGGCGGTGAGCCCGCGTCCCGCTGCCCCCGCCATGGAGCCGGGGACCGCGGCAGGTGGGTCGGGCCCGAGGCTCTCAGGGCTGCCCGAGAAGGAGGTGAGGGAGGGTGGGAGAAGGCTCCGGGATGGAGGCAGCAGCCTGAGGAGATACCCCCACCCCGTGGTGTCAGTGGGTGCCCCTGGCCTCGGGGAAATCCCCCGCGTGTAAACCTGGGACAGCCCCCTAGCCCTCCTGGTTCCCCTGGGACACCCCTGGCCCTCCTGGTTCCCCTGGGACAATTGCCTGGTTCTCCTTGAGGAAGGCCTCGCGTGGCAAGGTGTTGGAGGAGCGGTTTCCTGAGGAAAGGCTGAGTTTATTTTGTTTATTTGGAAGGAAACAGAAGCCTTTCCATGAAAGTTGCACTGCTTTGGTTATTGATAATGAAGAATATCAGCTATGAGTGTCTTCTCTCAATATTTATTCATATTCCTAGTTTTCTGATACGTTACAAGTCTGAAGGGTTTTCTTCATGTTCATTTCACCCAGATCACAAGTAAGAACACTGTATTGTTGTGTATTGGATAGATTCTGGGATTCAATTAGTGGTGTTAGTGCTCTACCTGTTAAAAAAAGGTTGCATAAATATCCAGGTATGACAGAATAGTAAAGATTTATCAAAGTTACCAGTATTTTTACCTGAAACTGAATATTTCTAATGTCAGTGAATTGAAATGATTGTGTCTGATCACCCTGTCCTCATATTTTACTTTGCATCTGTCTGCTGTTTTGTTTGTACTTTCAAAATGTTTATATGCTCACAAGGTTATTCTTTCAAACTTTTCCCCATGATCTTTGGCTTTTCTTCTAGAAAGGTTTTATTTCTAGAGATGTTCAAAAAATCTAGAATTAAAAACTTCTTTTAAAAAGTACTGGTTTCAGCCTTGCAGAATTTCTCCTGTTAGTTAGGCACTTCAGTAGTTTTTTGAAGGTCTCAGCTTTAGCTGCCTGTAGTGCAGCAGCTCATCTCACTGCAGTTAGCTGTCCATGGTACGTGTGTGCATCTGATCGAGTCATCTTAACACTCTGCGTAGTCTGTGAAGGGAAACAAATGGTTCTGGGTCACGACTTGACTTCACCACACAGTAGATGTACAGATGACTTGCCTTATTTTTAACATTTGAAATCTCTGTCTCTGCTCATTGATAATAAAGGAAGTCTGGGCAGCTGTAGCCTTCTAAATTTTCAATTTGTGTTAAGAGGAGATAAATCCTACCTCTAAAATATTACTGAAATCCTGAGGGATTATGCTTATATTCTTAAATTCTCTGAAATAGGGAATGTTAGTAAGCTTTAAAATATTTTTTCAACTCATTCATCTTGTTTGGTTTTGGAGAATTTGTAAAACTTTTAGAAACTCAGATTAATCAGAAGTTAAATAGTTTGAAGAAAAAAATCATGCTACATTTTAATCAAGTTTTCTCATGCTTTTGACATAAGTTATTTTACGTATTTATTATTTTCAATATTACTTCAGCATTTTGAGCCATTAAAAAATATACTGGAGTTACTGTTTAGGCTTGCTTTAGGAAAAGCAAGTTCTTCACTCAGTGAATATGTCCACATTACATAACTTTGTGTGTTATGAGTATAGGTTGTTTAAAACACAACTAACCACAGCTGTGGTTTAATACACATTTTTACAATAAAAGTTGCATAATTGGAACACAAGGCATATTTTGGTTCATCTTGATTATGCAGCTGTCCCATTATCATTGTTTATTATATACATGGATGACAGTATTATGCTAGACATACCAATTAAATCAAGTTTATTTTATTGTTGCTTAATGTTACAGCCTTATGTGTCTGCAGCTCAGCCCAGTTCCACTGGAGCACTTGCAGAGTTTTTATTGCTCCATCATAGTCAATATCTTGGTTTCTATTGTATAAAGCAGAATGAGGTTACAGAGATGTGGGTAATTTTTTTACCTTTATTTGCACTCTGTAATTGACAGACTAGTTAAAGTAAAAATCATGGCAACAAATCAGTTTTTCCTTTTATGTTTGTACCTTTAAGGACAGATCATATGCTTAAATTTAGAAGGAAAAGCAATTTTTTTTTTTTTATATTTAGGATTAGGACTGTCTGAAGATTTTTAGTTGTGTAGTAGTGATGAATGGCAATTTGTTTCTGTCCTGACAAATCCCCTTACTTTCAAATAAAAATTTCAAATGTGAAGAAAACTGAGCCCTTGAATAGCCTGGAAGCTAAATGAGTTACAGTCCATTTCATGTCTTATACTATTAATTTTTTTTCTTATTTTTTAAATTCAGATTATAGTGATCTGTGTAACAAGTAAGTGTCCTGTTGTAAGCAATAAGGTTTTGTTGATAACATTTGCAATAGTTTCTTCCATTATTAGCCATGAATTTCATGGGCAAACTTAGAAATCATGCCTAAGATCTACAATTCTTTGACATTAATGAGTATTACTCCAATGTTTAATTATTTTAAACAAGTTTAGGTTTTGAGTTTATGTTGAGGGACCTTATAATTTTAAATTACAGTATAATTTAGCCATCTCCCCCCCATTTCTCTGTGACTTGTCTGTTTCCAACATCAGTCAGAAAACTGTGTGTACCACTCAGAAAGGTAAATTATCTGAAATTCACCTGCCTTACCCATAAAGACCTGTAAAAGACTTCTGAAAAACTCTAGAGCGGAGGATTCACCTGTGCAAACTGAGTAACTCATCCTTTGATGTCTTGGTGCAACACATATTGTGGTTCCTCGTGGCAGAAAAACCCAGAACTGGCTGAAGAACTCCAGTGGACATGGGCCCAGGAGCTGGGAGAGGCTCATCCCAAGATCACTGCGGTTTTTCTTCAGGAAGCAGTCCATTTTGATCTGACTGCAAACTCAACTGCATCTTTTTCTAGGTTAATCCTTTTTAGGAGACCAGTTGTTCTAGTTCACATGCATTAATGCAAAGAATAGTGAACGGATCAGCCCTGGACTTCAGTTAAAGAGAGAAAATTATAGTTACCCCTGTCAGCTTGTTGTTGACTCTAGTGCGTTCTGGCACAGGGTGAAAAAAAAACCCAACAAAAAATGTGCACTCAAGGGCTGGGTTGTTCAGTTGTGTGTAGTTAGCAGTGGAGAAAAAAAAAAGAAACATTGAAGTAAGAGGCAGAAAATTATCTTCTGACAGTGGAGTGAGTGGAGAGTGCTAGGGGAGGAGTGGATGCCTTTGTGCCTGTAGTGGGCTCAGGGAATTGTCCTTGTTTTTGAAGATGTCACGTGTTTAACCTTAGCTTCCAGACTTTGACAAGAAGTCATTGGTGTGAAAGTGGGGACCACTAACTAGCAAGGTGCAGTCCTTTTGTGGGGTTGCAGGTCCTGTTTTCGGAAATAGGAGATTTTATAGGTTGTTAAAATTACTCTAATGAATGGCTTAAGTTTAGATGCAAGTTTCATGGCTTTAATGAACATTTTCCTTTTTTTGATCATAACGACCGATTTGAATTCTTTATGTTTTTTAATAATAATGTGAAACCTTTCTCCTTTGGAATGGGGCTAAATATATGAAGTTCAGACTGAGAAGAAAACGAACCAAAAATGTGACCATCTGAAACTTGTGGAGTGGGATTTTTTTTTTCTAATTAGTGGGAGTTACTTCCTCTTCACGTGTTTCAGACCATGTCAAAATCAAGGTGAGACTTACCAGAAAGGTGTCTTGTTGCCTGTTTATATCAGAGGTCCTCAAAGAATCTTACACCTCATCTCTGTTCCCCTTGGTTATGTAACACAGAGCTGTACAGGACAGTTCATGGCTTATTTTCTAATTATTTCTGCAAGTGAATAATTGCTCAGCAGCCTTCCATGGCTAGGATCTCAGCAAGGCTGTGGGTTCTGCAGGAGGGTTAGAAGGCTGGAGACAGGGAGATCCCTCATTCTCGTGTTGGAAATCTGGAGTCCCAGTCCTGTTTGATCTGATGTCAACCCATTGGGTCCTCTGAGGGCACTGCCAGTATCAGTTTGTAGATTGGGGGGGGGTTTCATAGGGAATCTCTCACCAGGTGGTGTCTGTGCTGTGCCCTGCTTCTGGCAGAGTTTGCAAGGTGTTAATGCTTCTCTCCTTAACACTCAGTAAGCACACAAATAGAGCTTTGTGTGTAAGTAGTTATTCCCTCTGAGTAACACTCGGTATCAGATATGTTTTGGAGGATAATTCTTGATCCTTTCCATTCCTGTTGTACATATTTTGGCATTAGCAGTTAGGACTAGACTAGTGACTTCTCTCTTCTCTTGGCTTGATACTATTCCCAGTCAAGGAAAGTTTTTGGTTTGGTCTAAAACTTTTTTTCTGCCTAAGCATTGGTGTAATTTCTATGTTGATAGGAGCAAAAATATTACTGATAAAACTCTGTTGCTGCCAATATGCTTTTAGTGGAATGTATTTACATTTGGTGGTGCAGCATTTCCTGAGAGCAACAGATTGCTGTGCAACCTTTGCTAATGCATGGTTGGCCAGGCATCCCTGTATTTCTAACAGCATCATCCGGTGTGTTATTTTCTAGAGGACTTTTACAGTGGTTTCTGAGAGAGCAGTTGTCCTTTTAGGGAACAATGAAAAACCTGAATCAGCCCGTAGAATTCCTGCTTTTTGTTAAACAAGCTTCTTTTTTCATGATCATAAAAGCAGCAAAGAGAAGAGAGATGGTGACAGTGACAGTAACAGAAAGGAGGCGAGAGAGCTGTATGTTCTCCATAAAATCTTTGAAAAATCTACTCTTTCTGGAAATACATGCAGGAATATTGCTATTTTTCATTAATTATCTGGTTTTAGACAAGAGATTTTAAAATTCCAAAAGAATGACTTCTCCAAAAACTGCTTTGATTGTGTCTTGTTTCTAGGAGACAAGGAGAACTAGTCTTGTGATCTGTCCTGCTTTTTTTTTTTTTAATAGCATCTTTACAAGTAATTATTCTAGAAAAGTAGTCATTCTTTTTCTCCAGAGTAAGAATATCTCCTTAAACTCACTCAGTGTAACACACTCCTACTGTAGGAGTCTGTATGTTAGAGGAAAAGGCCTCCCTCAAAATCCAAACTAATTATTAACTAAATTTTATTAACTAATATTTATTAACCAGTCATTAACTAAATGTATGTCCTAAGTGTTAAGGTGAAGTGCTATTTGAAATTTTGAGGATTGTGATTTAAAGCAAAATTAGGTGGTAAGAAACCATGGTGGGTATATGTGATTTATTAGGGATACATCTCCTTTAGAAAATGGTATTTTAGAATGGTGTGGGTGAAATATCCTTTTGCATGTCTGTATTGTGTTATTACCTTGTGCACTAAGGGTTTTTTATGCTTAAAACACTGTAGTCCTTTTTTAAAACAAAGTCAAAAAATGCCTCTCTCTGTTTTGGTAATAAGTGGTGAAAAAATACTACCAAAGTAGTATTTCATACTTCTCACTTGTAGCATAGTGGTAATATATCAGTGGCCAGACTGCTAACTTTGTGGGTTTGTTGCCGAGTATTTTGAATACCTTGCTGTTACTATTTACTCTTCTTTCAGTGTGGTTCCATGTATTTCATTTTATTCACAGCTTTGGAGGCAGTTCAGTTAATTGCATGGTTCTGTATTTGTAAACATGTCCTTTGATGTATAAGGCAAACAAGAGTCTTACACCAGTTAGTTGTCCCACAGGGGTGCTAATCCTTTGAGGATGAGAGAATTCTGCTTTTTTCCCTGGAATTCTTAGATATGAATTGAAAAGTTTTGTGAAATAATTTTTTGTAAGAAATTTTGCAGAAAGTACCATTTAATGTATAACTGCTTCCAATAGTGGGCATATGTGGTATAGTTCAGTTTCTAAAGGCTCACTCTTTAAATAGATTTAAGAATGCACTGGTGGCTTAGATTAGGTGTTTTTGCTCTGTCTCAGGTCAGGAATGGAGTGTTTCAAGTGGAGAACAGTAGCTTAAAGCATAGCTGTAGGTAAATAAATCCCAAGGAATTTTTGCAGTCTTGTCCTTTGTGCTCTGTACAATTCAAAGTGTCTGAATGGATGGCGTGCAAGGGATGTGCAAGAATTGTTTGAGCATTTCAGAAGTATTTGAAAGGTGAAAGAAATATTTAAAAGGCAGCGCTTTCTGTAAGTGTCCCGATGGATAAATGAATATATGATGATTTATGACTTACTATCCAAAGCTGAAGAGAACCAAAGGGAGAAATCAGCTTAGTGATAGCAGATGATCTGGTGAAAGGAGGACCTAAAATACCTTATTCAAACCTGTGCTGCAACTATTTCAGAGCTACTCAACACAACATTATAGTGCTAAGCATGTAGTTTTGTTGGATAACAAGAAAAAAAATAGTATTTTAACAAATGTTTAGATTTTCAAGGCCAGGACAAAAGTGTAAGAAGTGGTTTTTTAATTATTATTATTATTATTAATCTGGGAGTAATATTTTTTCAAGAAAAAATACATTAAACAACTGAATTAAAATGATGTGGAATTAGGAAAAAAACAAATAACTGCTAAATAGATAGGCTGGTTATTTTTAGTTACTTTTAATTTATTTTTTTCCTTTTCTGTTCCTAAATCCTGTGCTGTTGCCCATGACGTAATCCTCTAGTTAAATATTTTCTTTTTCTGACTCCTCAAGTGCCTTTTGCTCCATTCTCATTGTTTGTACCAGAGCTGATGAAATTACCTTCTTCACTTATTTTACTAGCCACTTGCATCACCGTACAGCTGTCTACATAGAACTTTCTGTAGGCTTGAGGCTTAATGTAGACTTAGAACTTCCAAGGGCAGCAGCACCAAGTGTCTAAAACCAGACACAACCTCAAAGTTTTATCTTTTAAGCACTGTGAACTTATGGTAAAAAATTATATATATTGTGTTTAAGTGGAAATAACCCCCCTATGATTTCTATAGTCAGGGGCTTAGGGGTTTTTTGGTGAGGGGGACAGGATGTCAAAGGTTTTTTCTGATGTTAGTATTTTTAGTGTCTTCATCTTTGTTTTAGTGGAGATAACATGTGAATTTAAAATTTTGCTAGAATAAGCCTATTTGAAGTGCTTGCTATTTCCACAATTATTCTCAAACACTGCCTGAATTTTATTTTTATAGCTGGAGTGCAGCTCATGTTTGTTTTATTCTCATATTGTGCACAGATGCTTATATTTCTGCTCTTTTGCTCGATGATTTAGGAATGCATTAGAAATAAAAGAATTGCCCTCACTGTTGAATAGTTTTCAAAGTCAAGAAAATATTGTGCATAATTTCCTTAATGGAGTCATAGTGAAGTAATGTTTTTGTTTTCTATTTTTCTAATGAAGTAGAGATCAGAGATGGAAGAGAAAATCAAATTTGGTATTTGAAAATATCAAAACTAGCATTGGCTTTTGCAATTATCCACTCAAAACCACCAGGGAAGAGTTCCAAAGAATACACTGAGCACCTTGCCAAAACTGTATCTGAGCAAGATTTTGGATGGAAGTGGAAAGTTGAAGTGCTGGAAGCTGAAGTTCTTCGATTACGACAAGAACTTATTTTGAACCGGATCTGTCCAAGATTCCGCTTGGAAAATAGTAAGTTTCTCAAATAATTTCTGACTATGTTTCAGTAGCAGGGAGCCAAACAGCTTTCATGTTGCCTGTAGCATTTCTTTTACCTAGATATGAGAGTCTTCAGTGTACAGCTTTTGGGTTTTTTTCCAAAGCTCTGAAGTAGTGGAACACTTAATTAATTTGTAATGGGATTGTGCTTGAGAATTTGGTCCTTAAGCAGAATTTACATATTTAACCTTCAGAATCAATATGTATTATACAGAATAATTGCAGCAAAAATTGTCAATACAAAATGTTACTCTATAACCTTGGAGATACTAGTTTGTAAGAATACTGATGTACCCTATTTATATTTGGAACATGTTTTAAAGACATATGGCATATTTTTTAAGGACTTTACAGATGTTTAAAATCTGAATTTAAGCCTAATGTGTTGGAAGTGCTAATCCCAAACGTATATAACAGGAAGGTTGGGCAGGCAAAAGGCTGTATGTCTGCTGATTCTGTTAATGTATTGCGACTGTGGATACTGTGAATGGGGTTTTTTATGGCATATGATAAAATATTGTGAGTCTGATATTGTAGGACTCAGGAAGGAGGCTGTTAGTTAAAGAAGATGAAAGAAAAAAAGAAAAAGAAAACAGATGGGTTCAGACAGCACTGTTTCTCTGACTTGTGCATGTGGAGTGAGTCATGCTTGCTCCAAGAGATCAGTGGCACAGAGTGAGCTTGGAAATCAGGCAGTGGAGGATATCTCCAGATTCTGGAAAGATATTTTGCTGGGAGATGGAGGTCAAAATGCTCTGGGCTGAAAGAGAGAGACATTTTGCTGTGGAGGGGATCTCTAAAATCAAGATGTGTAGTTGATTTATGACTTGAGATTTTTAGAAGTTTCCCTCATAGAAAACTTGATGAGGCTTTACCACACTGCATTCATACTGAAAGGGTGGCTTCTTTATTGCCTTGTGAAATTTCTAGTTTCTAACTTTGACTGATGGGGGAATGCATTATTAGACTTTAGCTAGCAGCTCTAATGATTTATTAATTTAATTTTTATAATAGGCTTTTTTTCTCTAGAGAAGTGGTTTAATGACTGTTCATACTTAGTTATTGTTTGTGTGTCAGTTCAAGAGGTAGTTTGCAACAGGTGTCTTATCTTGTGAAAAACTGATTGCATATGATGCATATGATCAGGAGAGATTTATTAACATCTAATGTCTGGTGAGGTTATTCTAATTGTGGATTAAGCAGAACGTAGTAAACACTAATCAATTAGCAAAACGTAGCAAATAAAACCAATTCATCTGCAACTTCTGTGTTCTAAGTCTTGCTTTTGAAAGATTCTTCAAATTTTAGTTGTGAGAAGGGAAGAGAAAAGCAACCATCCCTGGCAGATAACACCCCTTGCAAAGGTGGTTAATTTTCATTGCCCTAGTCACGGTGAAGTTTGTTCACAGACATAAAATGTGTTAAATCTTTTCTAATTTTAGATGTCCACAGCTACACTAAATTTTCTGCGCTTTCTTTACCTGTCCAGGGAAATAACATGCTTACTCTGCAGTTTATGGTTTACTTGACCCATTGCAATATTCACTAATATGGATGTGGGGAGTTGTCTGGCTCTGCAGAATGCAGTCCCTCTGCATTCTGCTAGCAGTAGTCTGACTAGCTGAGAAAAAGTGCTGTGATTCCCAAATCACTTAAGTAAGCTGCTCTTCGTGAATAGCTTTTTTAATTTTTTTGGGTCTCAGCAGCCTGTTGAAGCATATCTGACCAAGTCTTGTTTTTTTAGTGAAGCCAAACTTAAATTTCAGTCTATTTTTAGCTAACGGACTCATAAATAGTAGAGATGAGTATCTGGTATCCATAATCCTTCTGTATTTCTTGATTTCTCCAGGGTTCAAAACCAGCACCTACTGATTCGAAAGATTAGTGTGTAGCCATTTTTTCCTTGAAATGTTTGTGTATTTTTATGACTACAGTGTTTATAAACCTGTTAGACAGAAAACCTCTTGACATACGAAATATCTGTGGGAGTTCACATCAACCTCAGCTGTATCTCACACTGTCCGAGAAAAATAGGGTGTAGTCTTCCCCTTCAGGATCTCTTAACCACTTGTCTGTAACAGCACAAAACTGTGTGGAAAATCTGAACTGAATAGATTTCTTCTTGCAGGTTTCCCTTAGCATTGAAAGGACACTTTCAAATTCTTGGTGTGTAACTTTGAGATGGCCATTTTTTTTGTGATAGTTTGTTCTTTTGACTCTTTGGGGTTTTTCTCCTTTAATTTTGGTATGGCATGTGATCTCTTTTGATAATGCATTTGAGCCATGTGTTATTTTGGAAAGAGGATGTCTGTCATCAGATGTAACTACTGAGTGGGCATTCATGATTACAGTGATGTTGGAGACTACACCATTGACATCTTCTGCTGCAGGGAAAAAAAAAAATCCTTTCTTGTGTGTTGTGCCAGTTTTGAGATGTTTTCAAGCTCATGGAGATTAGAAGCTAGAGGGTGATTACTTATGAGATATGGAGGCACCGGGAACTTGAATCTAAATTCAGGAAAAAATTGGTATAAGTGCTGTTTCATCCTGTTCACTTGAAAGCTACTGTGGATCCATCAAGCCATTTTTGTAGTTTTTTGTTGATGATATACACAGCCCAAGTCTACCACCCAGTATCACACCAGAGACGTGCTCTTTAGGGATGAGGATAGCTAGGCTTGTTCTGAGTACCAAATAATCTGCAGATAACATGGATCCTTTTCCTCCTCTACTCATTTCTCCAGCCTCATTTTTGGACTTGGTGTTCTGCTTAAAATAATGCAATCTCTTGAAAGGGTTTCAAACCTTCAGCTTTTATGTGGCTTTCTTGTGTTTTGTTTAACAACTCTATAGATACAAGAATACCAGGGTTTCACAAAATCCACCAACAGAAAATCTCATGCAGTAAGGATAACAGTAAGGATAACAATACTGCATTTGTTTCTGCTGGACCCTCTTGAGAATTGTAGAGTTTGAGTCCTTCAGCCAAGGTTCACTTTGCAGCTGTATCTTTCCTGCTCTGCATTCTGAGTGCAAGAGCTTTCCTCTCCCACCTGCTGTTTTTAATAATAATAGTAGGTCTTTTCAGAGGCTTCAGGAATGATTAGAGACTGCCCACGGAGTTTTATTTCCCTGATGTGAGAAATTTGTGAACTCTTTGAAGCTGTGATACCTGTTTTCTCTCTCCACATAAAGTTGCACACAGTATGGATGTGCAAACACATGAAGGAGGAAAAAAAAAATGTATTTTTTTCAAAGATATGTTGTGTAAATTATTTTTGTCCCACCTGAATAGTTCTTTGTCATCAGAGACCCTTGAAAAGTTAGAGGTACCTGAGGGGGAGGAGCATGCTTTGCTGCAGGTACACTGTTCGGTGGTGTGAGTTGTTACAGTTTAATGTGTTTATAAAATTGCTGTGGTGTATATTCAATGACTGCTGTGTCTGCAAGTTCCTTATTTGACTTACTGTTCAGTTGCCTTTCTGAATACAAGGACTCTATTCCTTGGTGGTGCTTTTGGCTGTACATCAATCATCATCATCTGAGGAGAAGCAAATCTTTTTGTAATTATCTGTTCATTATTTTTCACCTTGACAGTATTGTCCTGACAACTATGCCCATGAGTAGAAAAAAAGTCAAATTTCATATTAAATCAAAGTTTCCAGCCTTTCTTTGATTCAGATTGAAATTTCACAGTAAGGAGGATAGAAACTTCTTGGTGTTATTCCAAGAATAAGGATATAAGGTATTTGAGCCTTCTGTTGTCACTTTGCTTTGGGAGCTGCATGAAAAGATAAAGGGTCTTACAAAGCATTGACGAATTGATAGATTCATGGATTGAAGCACCTGTCCTCTAAGACAAATTCCTTCACTGTTATCAGCTCATAAAATCAATGATCATATTGTTTCTTGGCAGGCTCCTTTAAAGAGCTCTGAAAAGCCTGCAGCTGTTACTCCAGCTTAAGAAGGCATAAATGCAATACTCTACACTTTTTTTTGCCAAGTATGTATTTTAAGAATGACAGCTTAAAGGATAGATGTTTATTGCCTTGGTTGGTTTCAGCTGATGCTCTTGAAGGGTTCCAAATCAATTATCCAGGGTATATGTTTAGCAAAACTTGTATCAAGTGTGTGTTCTCCCTTCCTTAGCTTCACCTTCAATTTTGGTTCATGTTATTACGTTCTTATGCAGTGGGTAGACATTTACTGAACTGCTTGCTTCTCTAATTAAAATAAAAATCAGATTCTCTCCACACTGTCCCTGTTCAGAATTAGTTTAGTCTTCTTTTATAGATAATTTACGGTAGAACTTCATCTGCCATGCCCTGAAGTCCTCTCCTGTTCTCAGCCTCCAAAGTAGTGTGTGGCTGCCAATCCACCCTACTGTAACGTGTCTGTGTGTTTAGGGAAACTTTGAACTCTGAGTCAGAATGTGATTAATGTGAATGTCTGATACTTAACTGTACCCTGAGGCTGTGTTTAACCTTGCAGGATATTCTATTTCCTGTGTCAAAGAAGCAACTTGTATCTCTTTTGAAAATAAGAGCCAGAAAAAAAAAAATATATATATATCTCCTGCTTCATTCCTTAACTTGGTGTGTTTCTTGAGGCATTTAGTTGTACATGTGGAAAAAGAGAGCAACTTCCTTTGCAAATTAGTATCGATGAAGACACTTCAGTCTCCTTTTTTCTTACTAGAAGCTCAGACTTCTTGTGAAAGTAGAAGCATATAGAACTGGAACAAGCTCACTCAACAGCTGAAGTAAAACTGATTATAAATGATACCCTACTCCATTTTACCAGCAGTCTTGTTTTGGCCATAGAATTCAGCCTTCTCTTGCCTTTCTACTTTCCTGTAAGTCATGGCTTGGGTATATCTTGCTCAATAGAGAGAGATGTAAACTCTGGGTACTCATCTTAAAGCCCCAGCATTTCCTTGGTAGGCAAAGACAGGATCAGATAAGTTCTGCTTT